TAAAATATCAAAAATAAAAATAATAAATAATAAAATATAAAATAAAATTTACACAAAAATAAAAATATCCATTAAAATAAAAAATTATTTATTTATTTTTTATAAAAAATAAAAAATAATAAATAATAAAATAGAAAAATAAATTTATTACAAAAAATAAAATATCCAAAATAAAAAATAATAAATAATAATATAAAAAATATATATATCGCAAAAAATAAAATATCCAAAATAAAAAATAATAATTATATAATATATAATAATATTTTTTAAAAAAAAATAGGAAATAGAATATTTAAAGTAGCAAAAATATTAAATTATAAAATAGGAAAACGAATTTATTTCAAAATATAGAATATCCAAAATGGAAAATAGCGGATAATAGAATTTATTAATAATTATATGTGTTTAATTTTTCTAATAATAGTAGTAATAATAATAACAATATATAATGTCAAAAAATTATATAAATTAAAAAAAATGGAATTTAAAATGTCAAAATTTATATAAACAAAAAAAAAAACGGTGTTTATAACGTCAAAATTTACATAAAAAAAGAAAATTCGGGGTTTACAACGTCACCGACAACGTCAACCAGAACCGGACACGTCAGCCGAAACACCCAGGGCCAATTATAGAGGGTGTTTGAACCAAGTAATTGTTATAATTGTTGTAATTGTTGTAATTATTGTGCTTGTTGTTGTTGCTGCTGTCGCTGTCGTTATCGCTGTTCTTGCTCTTGCTCTTGGTCTTGCTCTTGGTCTTGCTGCTGCTGCTGCTGTTGTTGTTGTTGCTGTTCTTTTTCCACATCTTACCCTCCAAAAGCGGCCCGAGCATGCGGTGCTTTTGCCATTTTGACTTCGAAATTTGCTTCGCGTCACAACGGCCTGCACTTTTGCAAGATCTCAACGTCCAAAAGCGTTCCAAAGCTGAGGTGCTTTGAGTGTTTTGACTTGGAAACGTGCTTCGCGCCACAACGCCGTGCACTTTTTGAACATCTCAACTTCCAAAGGTTTGTCTGAACACGTGGTGTTTTTACCATTTTGACTTCGACATGTGCTTCGCGCCACAACATGCCACAACGGCGTGTGCTTTTTCCACATCTGAACTTCCAAAAGCGCTCCGAGCCTGAGGTGTTTTCACATGTTGACTTCCAAATCTGCTTCGCGCCACAACGCCGCGCATTTTTCAATCTTTCATCTACCCAGATGGCTCCGCACCCGCCGCTTTGGCGAGCTTTCTTCTCGACCCTCCGGAGCCACAAAACATTGGAAAAGCACAGTATTTCGCGGCTTTTCTGCCTTTTCGCGCACCTTGATCTTGTTTCTTCTGACTCTTTCTCTTCTCTTCTCTCACTCTTCCCACCTCTGCTTTTTCATCTGTCCATGTTGTCGGTCGGAAGTTTGACTTCTAAACGTCCATCGATAATTGTGGGTGATATTTTATAATGTTGGAATTCCCAATCTTCCATTTTTTCGATCTAGCTCAAAACATGTAGCTGGCTCAATTTCATCAGGGGTATGTTTTGACAGTCACCTTGGGCTTTTTCAGAGGTACCATATCTAGTACTAAAGTAATCAGTGGGGATTGAACCTGGCAATTTAATGCAATTTAACAGATTGGGAAGTTTCTGCGAGCTCGCTCAACTGCAACGAGCTGGCTCAGCACCATCGAGCTCGCTCAATGCCACGTAGCTGGCTCAGGGGCATCGAGCTAGCTCAATGGCATCGAGCTGGCTCAATTTTTTTAGCGCAAAAAAAAAAAAGAAAAAAAAAAACCTCGCAGAAATTGAGCCAGCTACGTCACGTTGAGCTGGCGGACGAATGTGAGAGCATCAAAACGAATACTAGCTATGTATTGGCCGGGTTCATGACGCATTGGGGAGCCGGCTCAAGGGCATGTAGCCGGCTCAATTTCTGCGAGGTTTTTTTTTTTTTTTTCGCTAAAAAAATTGAGCCAGCTACGTGGCGCTGAGCCAGCTACGAGGCGCTGAGCCAGCTACGTGGCATTGAGCCAGCTACGTGGCACTGAGCCAGCTACGTGGCACTGAGCCAGCAAGGTAGCTTTGAGCTTTGAGCTAGCAAGGAGGCAGTGAGCCAGCAAGGGAGCTTTGAGCTTCATCATATATATATATATATACACCTATGCAATCCCAACCATGTAATATACTAGATCTAGGGAAAAGCAATTTTTTTGAGGGAGACACGTACCTTTGAGCTGGAGCGGGAATGTGAAATCTAACATTCGATATTTTTAAGTATTGCTTTTTTAATTTTCTTGGAGTTGATATTCGAAATTTTATGATCTACAAAAATATACTATTAACTACAAATTTTGTAAATAGGCACAAATGCTCAAGATTTTTGAGGCTAGGCTATCACCACCTGGCTCACTGCACACCGGAACTCGATCACAGCTTGCAACAAGAGCAGCGCACCTCCTCTGCCCCAAGGCCAGTTGCATCACTTTACACATGGAAGCCTCGAGAACAAAAAATGAGGAAATTGCTTTAAAAAAAACGATGAAATGTGACAATCTGAGTCGCGATCTGTCGAGTCTGTTGAGTGTGATCCAGTAAGAAATGATCCAATGAAATTTCTGGATCCAAATGAGAATGTGCTTGTACATCTACAAGGCTGCACTCAAACATACCTGAGGTCTTTTACAGTACCAACACCATCTGTTATTGTTGCATCTTCTACCTCCTACCGCTGTTCAAACATCATTGATTGCAATAAGCCTGCACCATGACTTTCGTAAGCCTGTGACTCAGCGGCTGTCCTTCAAGCAAGCTCTCGACACCTTGGGCAAATGCGATAAAATTAGACAAAGACAAAAGCATTTCAAACAACCCCAAACTGAAAAATTGGGGGAAAAAAAGGAAGTAAGTTCTCAACAGGCCCTTGAATTAAGCACTCGCATTTTAGTGGAAAGATAGTATTTGTTTGCGCGCCATCTGCTACCCAGTCCGTTGTGCAGGATACAAGAGAACGTTTCTGGAGCTTCAACGGATCTCTTACTTTTTCCCAACCGAAGAGGAATCATCCCTAGAAAGGAACTGTCCTGGAACGTAGTAAAGGTTTCCTACAAGTTCATGTGTCTTGTGTGCCTCCAACACTTCTGACTATGAAACCAGCGAGAAGGTTAAGCTAGACAAAAATGTAGGACTACTCTTCGCGAGGAAGCTGCATTTGCCGATTTCCCAGCGGAATTCGATGTGTCAAGGTTTGGACCACGCGGAAGATCTCGGTGGTGGACAAAGATCTGCCGTGGCATGGTTGAAGTCCATGATCTCTGGTGGACAGTTCAAATCTGCTTTCAAAATCCATAGTTGCTTGAATTATCTTGAACCAATGATTGCTTTGAATGAAGGTTCAACTCGGAAAGGAGAGCACGACAGCATCCTGAATGCAATCGATTTGAACAGAGCGCGGCGAGCTCAGCCGCAGGACTTTCGGCCCCAAGCACAGGATAGGATCTTGATGTGGTTTGGCCTTGCCCCCTCGTGCAGATGCCAATGGGTGGTCGATAGGTAAGGCAGACTCCAGCCAGCCGTACCTCGTACCACCGCAAATTCTGCAGCGGCACCGCAGAATTCCATTGATCATCAGCTTCCATACTCAAATGAATAATAACTGGGGGGGGCATTTTTTGACACTCGTTGCTATCAACATGACGAATACGAGCGGGCACGTGCCCTTCCACTCCACGACAGTGCCAACACAAGGCGCATCAGTGACACGCTCACCTTGGGCAAAGGTCTCATCTCGTGAAGTCTCGGCGAGGTTTCACAGTTTGACATGTTGGACCCTGCTTTGGATGTCAGCCTTCGTTACACCTCGTGAGGACTCTGTGAACATCAGACAGTTCGCTTTGTCTCGGTGACCTACAAGAAACATCAAGAAACATTGTATGGGCAAAAGAGTTAAAGATGTAGAAAAGGAAACAAAAACCCGCAACCCCCTCTTCAATGTTCGACAAAGCCCTGTGAAGTTGCCTGCATTGAGGCTTTGATCTTTTGTCCACTTGCTTGTGGCGTCTGGGGCTGTACACTTGTTGAAGCAGCGTTTGATTTCAGTTTCCATCTACAGCAGGTACAAGAAGCTAACAGCACGAACCATGCATATCTGATGAAATCTTTGTTGTTCGCTGGCGCCTACTTGCGAGCTTCTGAATCCAACACACCTGTTGTTGAAATGTGGTGGGAGATTTCCCTCAGTTTCTTGGCAACATCAATAGGCATACAGGCATACAGACGTATACAGAATTCCCTGGACAAGAAATACACTCCACTCCAGCTGTGAGTGTCCAGTGTCACACTGCATTCTCGTCTTTAGCTTCCGAATTATCTAATTTATTGGGCATGTGATAATGGCTAGTGTACTTCTATATCCGCCGACCCCTGCCGACAGCAGGGGGAGCGCGTCAGAGAAGAGATTACAAGCAACAAGTGTTGTGCAGTGCAAGTGAGGGGCAAGCGAGGGGGGACAGAAAGGGAAGCCAGGTGCAGAGTAAGAAGCCCAAAAAAGGAAGCGAGAAAGGAGGGGCAGTCTCAGCGAACGTAGCGGGGCAAGCGAGGGGGGGACAGAAAGGGAAGCCAGGTGCAGAGTAAGAAGCTCAAAAAAGGAAGCGAGAAAGGAGGGGCAGTCTCAGCGAACGTAGCAAGCGAAAGAAGCACGAAACAAGAAGTTAGAAGCAAGAATGCAGAAGCAAGAGTAAACGAGCGACAGAAAGTAATGTTTGGCACTCTGGGCTACGGGCCGCGGGCCCAATCCGTCCTTCACTGCCATGGTGTTTTAGCCCTGCGAGGAGGTCCCTTGACCGGAGCTGTACCGCACGAAAGCCAGCTGTCAGACAATGCAGGCAAGTTGGCAGTTGGCAGTGCAGGAACGCAGGGAAAAGCCAGGTTTGAGCTGCAAGACGACGCAGGCAAAGTGGCAGGGAAAAGCAAGGTTTGAAGCTAGTTTCTAGGCAGTTCAGAAGGCAACGTTTGGCACCGTGGGCTGCCGGCTGCGGGCCCGATCCGTCCTTCAGTGCCATGGTGTTGGGGCCCTGCGGAGGGGTCCTTGGACTCGAGCTGACGGCAAGACACAGCAAGGTTTGAAGCTAGTTTCGACTTGACCGGAGCTGTGCCGCACGAAAGCCAGCTGTCAGACAATGCAGGCAAGTTGGCAGTTGGCAGTGCAGGAACGCAGGGAAAAGCAAAGTTTGAAGCTAGTTTCTAGGCACTGCAGAAAGCAACGTTTGGCAGTATGGGCTGCCGGCCGCGGGCCCGATCCGTCCTTCACTGCCATGGTGTTTGAGGCCTGCGACAGGGTCCTTGGACCCGAGCTGACGCCAGGAAACAGCAAGGTTTGAACCGGCAGACCTGGTCCGTCCCTCAGGGCCCTGCTGTTTGGCTGTGGCGCAGGCGCCGTTTTGGGTCAGACAGCAAGGTTTTCTTGTAGGTTCAGAAAGCAACGTTAGGCACTCACGGCCGTGGCCCGCAGGCCCGATCCGTCCTTCACTGCCATGGTGTTTGAGGCCTGCGACAGGGTCCTTGGACTCGAGCTGACGGCAGGAAACAGCAAAGTTTGAAGCTAGTTTCTAGGCAGTTCAGAAAGCAACGTTAGGCACTCACGGCCGTTTTTGAATGTTTGTGACGGCCGGAAAGGGCGCGTTTTTGAAGGTTTGACGGCTGGAAGAGAGCTTGTTTTCTTGTAGGTTCAGAAAGCAACGTTAGGCAGTGGGAGCGGTTGCCCGGAGGCTCGGTCCGTCCTTCAGGGCCCTGCTGCTTGGGCGTGGCGGAGGCGCCGTTTGTGAGCCTTGACGGCTGGAAGAGAGCTAGTTTGGGAGCCGTTGCCCGGAGGCTCGGTCCGTCCTTCAGGGCCCTGCTGTTTTGCTGTGGCGAGGGCGCCGTTTGTGAGCCTTGACGGCTGGAAGAGAGCTAGTTTTCTTGTAGGTTCAGAAAGCCACGTTAGGCAGTGGGAGCCGTTGCCCGGAGGCTCGGTCCGTCCTTCAGGACCCTGCTGTTTGGGCGTGGCGGAGGCGCCGTTTGTGTGCCTTGACGGCTGGAAGAGAGCTAGTGTGGGAGCCGTTGCCCGGAGGCTCGGTCCGTCCTTCAGGGCCCTGCTGTTTTGCTGTGGCGAGGGCGCCGTTTGTGAGCCTTGACGGCTGGAAGAGAGCTAGTTTTCTTGTAGGTTCAGAAAGCAACGTTAGGCAAGTGGGAGCCGTTGCCCGGAGGCTCGGTCCGTCCTTCAGGACCCTGCTGTTTTGCTGTGGCGAGGGCGCCGTTTGTGAGCCTTGGAAAGCTGGAAGACGGCTACTTTTCTTGTAGGTTCAGAAAGCACTGTGGGGCATTGCCGTGCGGTGTGGCAACCTTAAGCTGGAAACGTCATCAGGTATGCACGCGCCACTGGTTGGTGCGACACTGCCGGCCGCTGGGATTGCGATGCGTTACCCGAATTCGGCCGGAAGCTAGTGTTGAGTGCACCACCGTGCCGCATGTTGGACATGCATGCGAATATGTGCGACCTGCGAGCAGGCCATTGGCAACGCGAAATTGTTTGCCGCAGCCATTACCGCGGCGGTGATCGACGCGCCCTGTTGCCACAGGGCTTTGCACAGACTTAGCACAGTACGGGCAGATGTATATGTGCAGTCGTGGCGGTGCTGTGTCAGGCCCGACAGCAAGCTGCTGGTTCGATGAGTGGGCAGTGTCCGTTTTGGGGCCTTCTGCTCGCGTGGAAGTTTGTCTTGCTTCGTGTATTTCCTGAATTTCCTTGCGAATGTCCTCTAGGATTGCTGCGTGCCGGTGGCGGGTTTCGCGTTGGCGCAAGCGGGCCAGGCGTTGATTCGTGCGATGAGCAAGACGGCAAACGAAGGCAAAGGCTGTGCATGCGTTGCATACTTGTGTGCCGTCTTGAGTATATTCACGACCTTGTTGCCAAGCTGTAAACTCTGTTCGTGGCTTGCGTTCCGCGCACATGGAACACATGAAAACAGACCAGCGACTTTGACTGAGCTTCGGCCGCCATCACTGTGGAAGATGTTCACTGCAGGAAGGGTTCCAAACTCACTCTCTCCCAGGGGTCGGCGGCAGGGGGCGTAGCCCCTTAATAATTATATTATATATATATACATATACTTTCACCATGTTGACCTACATGTTCAATTTCTTGCTATTGCCTCCTAGTTCAATAGTATCTAATGTATCTCAGTGATCTTGGTAAACATCGAAACACGCGTTTCCAAGGCCATTCTTGCAATTCCATGCAACTGTCCTTTTCTCTTGGTGACATGTGGCGACTGCCTCGCGAAAGTTCCGCTACCCGAATCACAATTTGGATCAATTTGGCACCTAGAGTGCCAACCTGATCACTACCCCACTCAGAGCTGGACGTTGGCTAATCGGAGGACCAAGACCAAGGCCTGCAGTCCCACCAGGATCTAGGGTCCTCCAGTGTCCTCCTAGGCTCTACGTCGGCCTGAAAAAATCTGTCGTGAAACCTGCGAAACCTGATAGTATCTGATAGTGCCAGTCTTGACATTCAAAGTTGACCGCAACATCATGGTTCAGTCTTGAGGGGCTGTTGCACAGGTCCGTTTTCTCAGCAAGTTCCATCAGCCCTTTAGGCTTTGTCCAACACTTCAAAAAAGCGATTGCACCCTTTCAGTTGTGCGACAGCATGTCAAACAAACAGAAAGGCCTATGCCCTGATTGAAGGATCTATCACCTCGAAGACATGGACGACATGGGCATCTTTCCCCAGGGACACTGCAGATAGTGCAAATGTATTTTTTGGGTCGTCTGTCCAGTCTGTCCAGTCTGCCCAGTCTGTCCAGTCTGTCACTGTTGAGGACCATGGTCCTGACCCACATTGCCGTCGCCTTACTCAAAGAACGTGGTAGCGCGGGCTATATCGCCGTGTTCTGTGTTTCCCGAGTGGGCAAAAGGACAAGGAAACTTCCAGTTGCATGAAGAATCAAGCACCCTATTTCAAGCAATAACCACAAAAATTGCCTGGGTATTCCTCAACATGTGTTGTTGATGAGGGCTTTAATCCACCAGCCTACGTTTGTTCCTATGTGGAGGATACGTGCATCTCTGTAAGCAACCGTCATTGTATGTCATTCTGGACTTTGAGCGGTCCATTTTCGAAATCCGTCCGCAGGAGGGATCTTGCAACACCATCGCCAAATTCCTGCCAAATTCGGCACAACGGAGGTCTGTGTGTGTCCTTAAACGCAGCTCTTGCTGCATCTGACACTCTGTCTCCATTCGAAAATCCAAGACGGCATTGGCACTTGGGCACTTTCACCCGAGTGAGTCAGCAATTTCAGGGAGCCCACGGGAGCTCTAGGAACTCTGGGAGCCCTGGGAATCTATTGAACATGGCACTCGTGATATATCAGGACATGTCAGGACCAGCGTCTGTCACGCCATCCTCGTCTTTCCCACGAGTCTTCCCAGCTCGACTGGCTGCATTGGTTCTGTAGACCTCGCAATTGGATGCAATTGACTTGAACAAAGTGCGTATCTCTGTCTCTCTCTCTCTCTCTCTCTCTCTCTCTCTCTGGCCTTTGCTCGGTAGCAACGTGCAGGTAGCATAAGCGCACATACATACATACATTACATTACATACACTATATACACTCAACACCCTACACTTTACACTCCACACTCTACATTTTACACTTTACACACCACAATCCCCACTTCATACCCTGCACATTACATTCCCCTCTCAAGACTCCACTGTCTTCACTCTTTTCACACTCCACCCTCTGCACTCCACCCCATTCCCTATTCCACAATCTACACTGGCACGGTAACACGGGAAAAATGTACAAGACGGTTGAAATAACTTGCTTTACAAAGGTGTTTTACGTGACTGCATTCGGGTTCGTTGGTTTCTCTTGTTGTTAGTTCTTATTATGATACATATGAGATCTGATTCCTTTTCCCGGATTCGGACGAAAATCAGCTTCACTGCGTATTTAAAAGTTCCTTATAGATCTTATAGGCATTTTAGAGCGGATCTCATATGCAAAGAAAAGCATTTCTCAACGTCTCGACATCCCGAAGTGCGCCTCGCCATTCCGCTTCCTCCAAGAGCCGGCGGAGATCCCCCCACAACATCTTCTCACTGCCGTTGTGCAGCAACGTGCAGTTGAAGTAGCTGTGATTGCTCTTCCTCGAAACGTCAGATACAATATGATACAACCTCAAATAATTCGTTTGTTCATCTGTTCCCTCTGGACATAGGCTTAGGAGTCATTCCTGGAAATAGTTTATGTTTACATGCTGGATATGGCGAGCAGCCGACATACCATACCATACGAAAAACTGTCAAACACCTATAGCAACGTTTGCAATGGGGTGTAATTCAAATTCGCTTTTGGCAAGCCGCTTCTTTTTCCCAGGATGGTCGGAATTTGCCATGTTCTCAGGAACTTCAATCAGCATGGCTCTTGACCAGGCGTAGGTCTTCCATGCTACGTCTTGAACTTTGCTGATGATCGCGTTCACCTCAGCGTATCTCATCATTTCGAGGCAGCTGCCAACATATTCAGAACACGCCTTCAGATTCCTTCAGACTCTGAGGAAACATGGCTTTATCATGGTTTTAAAGTTTAACCTCACAGTCTGAGGCGGCCACATCTCTGAAGGATGAGCACAAATCGCTGGGCGCATGTACAGCAATTACAACAGGCACTTGTGCGAGCTTGCAGACCTCTGTCTCCAGGAAGTCCTCGAAAATCTCTCCTGAGAGATTCACAAAGTACATGTAGATCATGTAGCCAGGACAAGGCACGGAGGAGAGGTAGCTTGGGCATGCTTAGACTGGTTATACATGGTTAATTATACAACAAAACACAACGAATACACATTCCATCACATTCCCAATCATTCCCATAGCTTTCCAACCTTTCCACATGACTTCAACATGACTTCATGGCACCATATGGCACCTTCCATATCCTTCGATCACATCCCATATGAAAATCCCAGGCACCACTGGCGGGCTGCGGGGCTCCGTAGCCACTGTTGGGCTCGGAGGTTCCCAAGCCGTAGCCTGCCACTGACACGACGGCATCGAAGATCTCTGGCGCAAAACAGCCGAGCTGAAAGGCACCGAAACCACCCATGCTGTACCTCGCTCTACAATAGGCCGACCAGTAGGCCGACCAGGCAGTCATTTGGCTTGCTGAATACAAGTTGTGCAAAAGGGTCAGACAGGTAAGACACAGACTTCCAAGTTCCAAGCAGTGAAAAGCTGCGTGGGTTCAAAAATGGTATACACATGTGGATATGCTCATAACTACTCCTATGCACTCTTGTATGCGGGTAAACATACCCTTTACGTTCAGGATGTAGGAAACATGTAGATTCCAAGGAAATTCCAAGTCCATCCTTAGCATTGGGATCTGCTTCAACAGCAATGCATCTCTGATCTCAGAGCCCAGTCACCCCATGGCTATGATCCTCTCGGCACTGTACCACGACGATAGTTCACGGATCTTCTGGGTGAAAGCACTCAGAAAGTTGTGGTGAAGGTGTCCAAAAACAAAGCCAAGTTCCTCCGAATTTCGCTCAAATCCACGGGGTGTTCAAAGTTATTCAAAGTTTCAACTGCCGCTAGTGATTTCCAGCCGAGATCATCAGGTTTGAAAGTGTTTGACCTGTCCAAAGCAAGCCTATGGGATACCTCTTCTCCCCTGTTCACTTGATTATCTTGATTACACTTGATTTCACTTGATTACACTTGATTGTTTCCGGTTTCGCTTGTCCGACCCTACCCTGCCTTCTTATTCTGCTGTTTCGTGAAGGCCAAACCCCAATTGAAATTGAGGCCATCCCAGGGACGTGGGCTCAATGGCACCATGAAAACCACTTTCCGCCGAAGCCTGGCAGATGGGGATTGAACATGGACTCCATGGACTCCAGGGACTCCAGGGACACTGTAAAAAGTCTAAACAATTCGAAAAGAGCCGAAACTTCTTGCGAAACATGATTCAAATTAATTGAAAAGAGACTAAAAGTTGTTTGGGCTGGCACCAATGGAAGCAAAAGAGTTGTCGGATGTTGTCGGTGATTCAGAGTGGTGGGGAGTGGTGGGGAGTGGTGGGGGTAGAGATATGCAGATACTCCTGAAGTTTCTGAAATCTCAACGTTCAATGAAAGCCTCACGCCACAAGTTGCGCCACTTCTGGCATTTCCCAACACAACTGCTTCTTATCGTGCGTCTGCCCGGCTGCGCCTCCACTGCATTGTTTTCAAGTCTCTTGGCCCAATCATGCCCTGGTGCATGCCATGCAGCCACACAACAAAGTACCTTCAAGCCCAGTGGCCCAGTGGCCCAGTGGCCCAGTGCCCCAGTGGCCCAGTGGCCCAGTTCAGTGGTGGCCCAGTTCGGTGGTCACTGTGCCGAACAATGACAATTTCCAATGTGTCATCCCCCCGCTTACTTGCAATATCTTGCAATCCGATGGGAGCGGGATGGGAGGGCCACGGAAGCCAGAAGAGAGATGGCAATTCTGGAAGAACGTCTGAGTAAAGCCATTCGGTATTGTTGAATGGCCACAAGATAGAGTTATCACACTGTACTACGCAATAGAGGTACAAATAATATACTGTACTCATATTATGGCAGTTCGTGTCGTGTCATGTCATATCATATCACATCCTGTCATATCATCTCATAGTCTTAATGCAACGATATGTAAGCTGGTGTAATACGAGCTGATCTAGTGTTTGTATGTGATTATGCACATGTAGGCAGTGTGTATTATATAATATATAATATACATATATATATATATATCAACGTATAGCAAAGTTACATAATATCTAGTCCCATTAGTAATCATGACTGAACATGAATTCGATCCTTCTTTGCATTCGATTTTAACCGGTGCAACATGGCAGCAGATTCACCATGAGTCATTGAAATTATTGAAAGCAATAACGCCGTCCAAGATACGGAGGGGCATTCGCTTCGTGATCGCGCAAGCCTTCAGCGAACTCGTAGATTTTGAACTTAGATTCACCGAATCCTTAGAGGGCAAACTGAGCAGGTTTTACTCGTGGTATATCGGATCAAAGTGGAATTGTGATCACAATTTCGACACTTAACAATTCGGGAGCTTAGTTTACATTGCCGTATGAGCTATCAAAGCGTTTTCCGACATCGACAATAAAATAACAAGAGTGCTGAGGTCTAAGAACAGGCCACAGCTAAGAATCGGCTTCTGTATTGGTTTCTCTCTGTTTCTCTGTGCACTGCACCCATCAAATCTATCAAGCTAAAAAGCGTAAAACCGTAAAAAGGACATTGGCTTCTAAGCACTTCCAAGAAGCCTTCACCCCTTATTTCGTCTTCCCAGGATTCTTTGACCATGGCTGGTGGCGACGGGAATGGGCGGCGACCTGTGAATGCTCAATGTGCTGGTGGCCAAGCGCACAGAGCGCCGGTGAGGTTGACTGACTGTGGGTGTGGATGATGTGGATGATTGCATCGCTGGGGGACGTTGAGGTCTAGGTTCGAAAACCAACACTGTCTGACACAGCCTGATGTTGATCTAGGAATCGAGTGACTGGTGACCGCTAGCGGTCATGGTTTTTGCCAAGTGATAAACTGGTGTCCTTGGCTTGAGCTTTGTGTCGCGGTGAGGTGCATCCTCTGAATTTCTGTGTTCTCTGATCAAGAAACATTGACAAACATTGAGAATCTTCCAGAAACATGTTGCAATAGTTGTTAATATTTTACATAATGTTTTACTTATGTTTGCATCACTGTGGCCCAGACTCTCGCCATCACACCCACCTTTCTTGCCTGAGAGGTCAGGACTCTTCAAGCATTGCTTTTAGCATGAATCAGTGTGAATCCCTTAGAGAAGAGAGAAACAGAAAAATATGAAAAGGATCGAATTTAAAAAAAAAAAAAACGTCAAAATGACATCCTTTCCCACCATTTCTTAACGTGTCCCGACTGCCTTTGCCCTTCCAGCTGCCCCAGCTGCTCCAGCCCTGGTGCAGAGAAGACATCGGAGACATCATGGTTATTCCGTTGTTATTTATTCTTTCGGAGACATGCAGCTTTGATCGGTTTTGCAGAATGCTTCTTCCCAAACATCTTAACGAGAACACTTTCGTTACAGAGCATCTTTGAGCCTACGATTCTTTGAAATGGTCAAGGATTGAAGGATGATCAACAATCAACTGCACTTGGGAGGTACTGTACTATCTGTACTGTATGTTTTCTTCAACCGTTCAACCGGAAGGGCACCATGCCATAGGCGCCGTAGCCGCCATAGCAGCCATAGGCACCGTAGCCGCCGTAGTCGCCAAAGTCGCCGTAGTCACCATATCCGCCAAAGCCGCCACCTCCCAAATACCCCAAATACTTCGATTCTGAAACATATTGTGACATATTGTGACTGTGTCCAACTAACGTCAGATTGCATCAAGGATATTCAAGGATCACATCTGACGTCAACTTTCTGGAAAAAAAATAACATGTTTTAATATGTTTTCTGCATCTCTTTTAAGACAGAAGTGGGTCTCTGTCATCACCCGGGTAGAGATTCAGCACTTCACCTTTTGGCAACTTTCCTGCTGGAAAGTCAAAGAAGAAATGGTATGGCATACTGGCAGTGTACTGGTATGGAATGTCCTTCTTGCTGAAGAATGTTTGAAAATGCTGCGCAAGAATTTCGTCTCTCAAGACTTCGTCTTGTGGTTGGTCCTTTTCCTTTGGACTTCCCGCCACCTTTGGGCTTGGCTGCCTGGCTGTTTCACTAAAGGACTTTATCCCAACAGATTTGGGAAAAGAGGAGCTTCACTTGTTGAGTCCATCTTAATCCCGAACCCTTTGGTTCCATCTGCAATCAAACACCGACAGCAAAGAACAAGAACACCATAAGAATCCATAAGAATCCATAAGATATCTGCAGATCTCAGCCCAGTTTCATTATCAGCTGGTCTTAGATGCCTCCGCGGCAAGCTCTGGGTCCTCCTGGATATCTTTGTAAGCCTTGCAGTTTCTGTGGGATCCGGTCATCAAGAAATCATCAAGAAAGTCCATAGCCATAACAGAGGGATGGAAGGTGCAAAAGCTACTGACAGATTCGTTTGAGTCTCAAACTCAGATTGATGTCAATGCAGGAGAGCAAATGGCATCGACCGTGCACTCATAAAGAGCAAACGCCGATTTCAATCATTGCTGTACAAGATTTTACAAGACATTTGATGGGCGCCTCTTCTGCAGCGCTCTGCTCAGCCTTTTGTTTTGTCCTGCAAGGTTTTGAAGCAAGTGCCATGACAAATCTCATAGAGATGCTTCAAGGCTTGACGGCTTGAAGGCTGATCACTGGGGAGCGTCTCCGTGGAACTCCGAATGAAAAGAGTTACCGTGAGTTGCCCGTCTCAATCTGAGCCCACCACGAGCAAAGGTGCCCAGCCCACTCCTAGCAGCTGTCCCAGATTGCAACAACAAGCTTAGCGCATCTCAGCGCGCCACTGAAAAGTGAGACTTCCGAATTCAGCGAATTCATATGGTGAGCTCGACTCGAGCTCGACTGCCTTCGCCTGTCACCTGTCACACCCTCTCGCACCCCGAGTCTCGAACACGTTCTCCCCAGTCTCCAGGAAGAGCAGTGAGCCTTGGGCGAGGGCGAGAGATTTTGTTGTGGAACAGGAACGGCTCCGAAAAGAACTCGTGCAACGAATCGTGAAATTGAGACCTCCCAACATGACTTATAGCATTTCATGCCTCAAGTCAAAATTGTCAAGAGAATAAGGCTGATTGGCTTGGATTTTGATATACTGCGACAAGTGTCCTTGACTCTAAACTGACTTTCTTTCGAAACAGGTCAGCAAATTGATCGCACTTCTGCTGCTTCAGTAAAGGTGTTCAATATTGTTCAACAATGTTCAAAAATGAGTATGCATGAGTATGCTACTACGATACGCTAGGATTGCGTGTGAATAGTGTTGCCGAATTTTGCGGTGCATTGGTGCAACCAGTTCCACATTGTCCTCTGTCTATGACGATAGTGGCAGGATCTCTGTTGGCTCCGGCACCCGAGCCTCACTGTTGCTTGGTACTGTTGTCCAACCTACCCGAGATCCGACCGTCTGGCATCTGGCATCCAAGCTGTGCACCGTAGCACTTTGATTTTAAAAGATGATTAAATGCTGGACTGCTGGACTGTGGAATACTGTGGATGTCTCAAACGCAATGGAAGAACATGTCCAAACACAGACCGACACATGACACCGGACCTACAATAGCAACCCTTGCCTTGTTGCAGTCGTAAACCTGAGTGAGAAAGAAAATCCTAGTCCAAATGCGCTCAAGGCATTTGGTGATTATTCTAGTTATTCTGTTTAGCTTCTCTAGCATGTGCAGCCATCCATGCAACTTACGTTGGAAATATTTGGAAATAGTCATCCCATGTCATCCCGGAGTCATCCCTCGACCGTGCTGAAATCTGCTGAAGCTCCACGGCTTAGCACAGCGGGCTCTGAGAGATTCTGAGAGATCCGCTGTCTCACCTTTCTGAAGATAACGCTTCACAATCTTCATGACAAAGCTATTCCTTGGCTGCGATTCTTCAGCACGAAGCGGGCCACACCAGGACTTGGGTTCCAGCAGCTGGGTCTTAGGTGTCACTGCCTTCACCAAGCACTGCTCATATCTGCTGTAGAAACCGATAGACACCATGTGAAATTTCAGGAGGCCCCTCAGTAGGCCCCGCATATCTGGGTATCCACACTGGATTGTCAAGACCATTGTCATCCTGACAGGGTTTGACTAGCCGTCAGCAGAGCTATTCAGCTTGCTTCTGTCTAGTTGGAAGGTTCGGCACCAAATAGCCAACGAAGTGTGGATGAAAAGAACCACAGAACACGGCATCAATCCAGTAACACCATGTAACACCAGGACATCGCGCGGCCTTCAATCGCTTTGCAGATCTGTCATCAGGACCAGCCTGATGGCGTCTGGACGTTCTAGCAGCTCAGGCAGCTTCGTTTCGTGTCTGTGAAAGAGACTTTTGCACGCTGCATAGCCCTCTATGACGCGAAACATTTTTCCAAAGAGGACCCGCACTGCACAACTTTCACATACTCTGAGCTGGTTGGAGATGGTTCGAGTCTCTGACTTTCCGCTTCTGTAGCGCCTCTAGTCAGAACCCCTTCCTCTTACATCTGCAGAATCTGCAGCACTGTATTTCGCAAAAAAACTCTCAAGGAATTGTAAGGATCGAAGGTCGGCAAACCATGCTGCTCAACGCAGGTTGCTGCTCAGTTCACACCAGAAAAGCTGAGCGGAACCAGCTTCCACAGCTTCCAGAGCCTCAAGAGCATCCTCAAGGCTCTTCACCGCCTTGACAATGACTGGCTTGTCGGGCTTAGACGGCAAAAATCGCCGAAGTAAAACTTCCGAAACATCTGACAAACATCTTCTATGACTTGTCGTAAAGTCGTGAAAGCTGATACATATGTATTTGTGTGTGTGCAGACGATTCAACAAAGTCTGACGGCGGTTGCACCAACAATAAAAGGATCTAAACTTCCAAAATATTCTAAACATATCTAAACTCTCTACTCTCTCTGATTCTCTCTGCTCCAATTTGCGCCTGCTCGGCCGCTGATCGCTCAGCGCCCTGGTGGATTTACATCCGAAAGAAACATCCGAAAGAAACATCCGATGTGCCGCACTTGCTGCGTGCATTCGGTGATCACTGTGCTCGTCCGTTCAGTTTGCATATGTTTGCATCAGTGCCTTCTGGTCGGTGCAAACCTCGCCTGCATACTCCCGACCTAAGCACAGTCCACAACTGGACAGTTGCGAAAAACAAACAAGATTTGAAAAAGATTCATTAAACATAAAAAAATATCGAGTGTTTGATCAGATCTATGGCCTGAGAATGCGTTGGATTCTTTCAGTCCACTTGCGGGGGTGATCAATGAAGCAACACGATGGAGGTAGTTTTGATTTGCCAGCATTTGAACATGTACTGTACAGCTTGCTGCACCCTTCTCTGATGTCAATCTTCTCGTAGACAAGCAGCTATCCAAGCAGTCTAACCTCACCACAGCTTGATACCTGGGTATTTGCAGTCTGCTTTCCTGCTTTCCCTTGCTCCACATCCAAGGACGAGGAATGAAGTTGTAAAATAATGTTGCAAATATGACACGAAAATCACACATACTCAAAGATCGTTTCCTTCGTGTCTCCAATCTACCACACTTCTCACTTTGCAGCCCAGAAGCTGCGAGCCCTGGTTGTATCTCGAGACCAAGTACACCACGTCATCTTTGTTCAGCTGGCAAAATGTGAAGAAACAACAGCATGACATCACACTTCCCCACTTACCTTTTTTGCTGAAAGTCATAGAAAACATGTCTCTCAACTGGCAATGATAAGCTGGAGCGACTTGGAATCCGCTTGAAAAACCTCCAACCACCAGTGGACCACCAGCATAAATCTGTTCTTGATTCACACCCCGTCAAACAACCATTGGGAACCCATTGGGAACCCATTGGGAACCCATTGGGAACCCATTGGGAACAATAAAATGAGTCCTGCCAAAAAACCATGCTGGCTCCCGCTGCTCTGCCACACTGCTTTTGAAGAAGTTGACTCAGCTGTGTCCTCAGCGCAGCTGACAGACTTGGTGCGTCAGACTCTCAGAGACAATTTTTGTCAACTTTGTAAAGCAAACAAAATCTCTTTTGAAGATGTTGAAGCGAATTTGAAGCGGATTTGACAAAACCTGCAGTGTCTCATGACAACGAAGAACCTCGTGACATGGCCAGACTCCTTTTTGACAGACGACGAAGTTCCAATCAGAAAAAAAATGTTCCAATCAGCGCTGCTCTGAGCACAATACTTCGGATCATCCATATGTTTCCTGCAGATCGCAGATTGCAAGCTGCAGAGATGTCAGAAATCACAGCTATAGCTTTGGCTGCACACACCAGCTGGTCACCAGCTGGTCACCAGCTGGTCACCAGCTGGTCACCAGCTGATCACCAGCCTCCCCGCGGATTATGAGGTGGACCATTTACTCTCAGCCCTGTCTCTGATATCTCTGATGTCTCTCACGGTCTCTCATGTGTCTGTGTTTAGCTCTCAAGCCATGTGGCATGCGGTGCCAAAAAAAAGCATATCGATTTGTGGATAGCTCGACCGGCTTGAGTGCCAAGGGGAAGACAGCCCTGTAATGGTTGTTGTTTGACCTACAACTGTTGCTGTGCACACTTGAAAACTGCGGATTCGTTGATGCAGTAGTTAGTTGCAACTGGTCTGTGAGCGTTTGCGCTTGAATGCACTGTTCATTTGATGTAACGCTTAAACCAAAAAGCGCCAACGCGGTTCATTGGCATCCGATTTACACTGTAGCCTTTATAAGTCAAGGGTTCGCCACAGTCAGCAACTTGCATCTTAGATTTTGGACACATTTTTTCACCATCTTGGAATGTTTGTCCCAACATTTGAGTCTTCAGGAGTTTCACTTTACATGTCTGAAAATGTGCGATGACCGTGGTGAAGCCCGTTGTAGCACCTTTTTGTCGCTGCTTAATCTGTCCGACATTTGCCGGATCCAGCTGGCAGGCTGATGAGGCTAAAAGTCTATATATATAAATGAAATCTGAACATATATGATATTATCATTTTGATTTTCAAATATATGTGTATGTGTATATATATATATATATACATATCATACTGTATACATCTGTATATAGTATTTCAACGATGATTTCACCCCATTGCCTTCCAACAATAATTTGGTGCTACGGGCGAAGTGTTGTATTTTTGCATCTTGCTACATTGTTCGGCCTTGATGCTGTCCTTGTTGCTGTGTCCTTGTTGCTGTTGGCTCTGCGCTCATTTTCCTCTCCCTTCCCCTTCTTTTTCCGCCTCGTTCGAAAAGGGAACAGAAAGCAACCAACTGAACGAATTCGACAAGCAACATCGAATTTTCACAAGTTTGTCTTTAGTAAATTTTAGCAAGTATCAGTGCCTTTCGACTTTCTCTTTAAACTTCTGTTCTCCAATCGTGGGGGCTGCTCTATCTCCCTGGCGAGGAATGAATCTTGTTTTGCAACACCAAGAATGGAGTTGTTGATGAGGTCTGCACAACTCGTATGATGCATGTAGCACGATATGTAAGACTTCGAAGCTAGGTTTTTGCCTCAATTCACACTTCTTGATTGTTTTCTGCTGGAAAAAGATGGTGGTGATGTTCTTTAAGAGATTCCTTCTTGTGTCGCTTCGACCGAAAAGGACAGCCAAAACGCATCAAAACGCATCAAAACGCAACATAAAATGCAAGCACACTTCTGGCGGTTTTCCCCAAGTGCTTAATACCAAATCAATGGCATGGGAATTCAGCACAGAAAAAGGTAAAACTTACAGCCCCTGGACGCTGCCTTTTGCTTCTGGTTTGCCTTGCGGCCTCTTCTTGCAGATGCGCGGGCTTTCGCCTCCAAAGTGTGTCAAGGTGGAAGTCCCTGACAAATGGAAGTCCAGCTGTGTGAAACCAGAACTAAGTACTTGGTTAGTTGGATGTTCAAACTGTTTTCTAACTTTACTATACCACCATACCTGGCAATACATTTTTAGAATTCTTTAGATATATTTAGTCATGTGATGTCTGATCCATTCTGATCCGAAGTTCCCTTTTTTTCAGATCCCTCTGCTCAATCCCTCTGCTCCTGCTCCTCGAGGCGCTGCTTCTTCTCAGCTTCGCGCTTCGCCAGGACTCGCTGCCTGGACTGTCACGAAATCGTTTCTAGAGGGACGTAGACGGACAAACCATGCATAGTCTTAGAATGTATTTTATATACATATACTATCATATACTTCATTACGTGTATGTATATGTATGTATCAAACGTATCAAAAAAAATGCGTTTATGTAAATTATCAAAGGAGGTTTCATGGAGGAAACTCCGAGTTGCGGATGGTTTATTCTCACTAGCCCAAAGATCATTGTGTCCAGTTGGCATGTGCCTTGAGATCATTGTGTCCAGTCGGCATGTGCCTTAAGAGATCATGAAGTCACAGTCTCACTAGCCCAAAGATCACTGTGTCCAGTTGGCATGTGCCTTAAGAGATCATGAAGTCACATTCTCACTAGCCCAGAGATCATTGTGTCCAGTTGGCATGTGCCGTAGAGGTAGTAGAGGTAGGCTAGAGGTAGACTAGAAGTAGGGTAGAGGTAGAGTAGAGAAGGCTAGCAAAGAGAAGCGTAGAGGTAGAAGTAGAGCAGAGTAGAGGTGTTGTGTCTTGCAATTGTATTGTGTTTTGCAAGTCATTCTTGGCGGATCGCATTGGAACTGCTACATCATGGATGCGATTTGAATGTTAGGATATGCACGAAACGTTGGGTTTTTTCGGGTAAACGGAGGCTCGGTTGCGGAGAAAAGTTGGCTCGCTTGCGCGAGGGTTGCCTGGCGTCGCCGCTTTGCCGTGGAATCTTGCTCGAACTGCGCGCGCAATGTAACGGAGGGTTCCAAGTGATTTTTTCTCTTCTTTGTTCATGCTGTGCTATGGTACTTTGATGTACTTTGCATGTGTTGCGACACTTTGTGCAGTGGAACTGGTACATCCAAGCGATGTGTCCTACAGTAGTGTGTTGCAATTCTAGTGCGTTGTGCCATTCAGTCTGTGCAGATCGCAGTGGAATGGCTGCACCAAGGCTTCTCGAAGGGTACTTGTTCTCCCATACTGTCTTGCAATTCTGATTGTGTTTTGCAAGTCGTTGTTGATGGGTCGCATTGGAACTGCTACTGGTTACTGTACATCATGGATGCGATTTGAATGTTAGGATTTGCACCAAACATTGGGTTTTTCGGGTAAACGGAAGTTCCGTTGCAGAGAAGAGTTGGCTCACTTGCGCGACGGTTGCAGGCGTCGCCGCTTTAGCGTACAATCATTCTCGATCTGCGCGCGCAATGTAACTGAGGGTTCCAGGTGACTTTTTCTCTTCTTTGTTGATGCTGTGCTATTGTGTTTTGCATGTGTTGAGACACTTTGTGCATTGGAACTGGTGCATCAAAGCGATGTGTTCTGCAGTAGCGTGTTGCAATTCTAGTGTGTTGTGCAATTCAGTCTGTGCAGATCGCAGTGGAACGGCTGCGCCAAGGCTGCTCGAAGGGCGCTTGTTCTTCAGTACTGTCTTGCGATTCTGATTGTGTTTTGCAAGCCCCTGTAGCAAATCGGATTGTAGTGGCTGCATGAAAGTTGCGAATGGTGCTTTGGTAGCAGATTTTTTCATTTTGGTGCTGATGATTTTCCGTTTAAAATTCCTTTTAAAAAGTGCTTCAAAATGGTCGTTTTTCCGAGATCCGGTTTTGGAGCTGCAATTTATGCTTTTGCAACTCAGTCTCTGCAGATCGCAGTGGAATGGTTGCGTCAAGGTTTCTCGCTGCTGCGGGTGGGTGCGTAATACTATTTTGCAGCTGAGGGTCGTAAATCGTATTGTAATGGCAGCCAGTGCATACACAATGCGCAGCTGCCGCCACGGTTGCAACAACTTTGCTTTGGCAACAACTTCGCTTTGGCAACAACTTCACCGGCGGCGGCTGTCGCTTGCCGTCCTTTCGTTGGCCTGTCGGCTTGCGACATCTGCTTGTCGGCTTGCAGAATCTGCGTGCCGGCGGCTTGTTTTCGCTGACCCCTGATGCGGCTAGATTGCCATACGGCCTGATGCACTTGCATCTGGGGGATCGTTGCAAGTGGTCACTGCAACAAATCGGTTTGCTTGCGGAATTGCAGCACTTGGAAATGGGATATTCGTTTGCTCAGCCGATCTGCAACATCCGCTGGCCGCGGCGTCTGCAAACCTTGACCTTTGGCATGACATTCAATCGGCCCTTGCAGGACGTTCTTCTGCCGGCAACGCTCTGCGAGCTCCACTTCGGCAATCATTTCGATCAGGCACTGGATGGCATTCGCTGGCCATCGCAGGTGCGGCTTTTGCATTTTGGTTCTGACTTCAATCAATCCCTGGCTACCGCGAATCTACCAGACCAACTCGAAACCCTCGTGTTGGGGCGGTTTTTTCAACAAGACTTGCGGACTTGCGGACGTGCCTTTGCCGCAATCATTGTTGCGCCTTACCCTTGGCCAATGCTTTCCGTTGGAACGACATCCGCTGTTTTGGCCGCCGTACCTAGAGGAATTGAGCATCAAGCGGCCGTTTCTCAACGTTCCGGTCGACGTCATTTTGCCGGAGACCCTGCGCAAGCTGGATTGTGATGGCGACATTTTGGAAGTGTAGCAGAAAGAAGCAGGGAAGAAGAGCGCACGGCTGTGCTGCCTGCGTTTGCCACGCCTCGCTGCATTCCGGTGGCGCGCACAGCTGTGCTGCTTGCGTGTCCTTCTTCGTTTGGCCTTTCAGGCAGCAGGACTCAAAGACGCGTGCGGCTGTGCTGCTCCCGCGCGCTCTTGACAAATGGCTGCTCGTGACGTCACAGCTCTTCGCGCTCTTGGAAAAAATGCTACGGCCCAAGCATGCATGAACGTTGGACCCACAGGTAACAATCAACAGTCCGATTGAATGATAGTGCATGACAGGAGAATGATAACACAATCGAATGTTGAAAACCATGATCGAATGAAAGGCAAGTCAACTGGCCTGAACAAGAAAGTTTGCAACTATGTCACTTCACTTCGACTGGGCTGAGAAGAAAATGGACAGGTGGAACTGAGGTGAGGTGAGTCAACACGAGTTCAAAGGTGTTGAAAGGAGAAAAGAGAGAGAGAGAGAGAGAGATGAAAAGAGAGTTGAGGAGAGTCAAGAAGATGTGCACAGAAATGAGAATCGTTGAAAAGAGATGACGAGAGGTGAGAAGTCGTTGGAAGAGTTGAGATGTGGTTTCACAATTTGCAACAAGAGGTCAGAAGGCCCGGAAAAGAGCATGGAAGTCTGCCGCAGCTCCTATACGCAAACCCTGTTTTTGGATCCTATAGCGTTACACTTCTTAAACCTGGAAACTTCCGCCACCCGCCTTGCGCGGGTTCTACTTGTAATGTTTTTTTTTGCTGTTTTCTATCCTCAACACATTTAGCACTCTGTGCAAAGATTGCTCTCTAAGGATGTGTCTTTGAGCTGCACATCGACACTGCAGCAAATTCAGTCCTGGTCCTTTCTTTCCTTCTTTCCTCTAGCTCTTCCTCGGTAAGTGGTCCCTTCCTGCAGGTGACTAGAACGCTAGACTAGACCTCAAGTGCACTGAACATCACTGAACCATCTTTAACTAATCTCAACCCTGCTGAATTCCCAACTGCCGACGCTTTTTCTCTAGTCTGCTTCCAGGCAGTCTACGGCGATTTGGCCTCAAAAGTGCAAAATTGCCTGTGCCAGCGACTTTTTTTTGTGACTACTATTCCTCTCCACAGCCTTGTGTGGAGGGTGCAGTCAAAGTCATGCAAATCAGGCTTCAACTTCAGTCGTGTTCGCTCCAGCTCTAGACACCGGTGTGACCGTAGCAGTACCAACAACCTCGCCCCTAAAGTTCACTGACTCCAACTTGATTTTCTCCTCACAAAAGCTTTGAAAGATTGAGCTGCTTGACAGGAAGACATTTCAAAACAATGCAACGAAAATATATTGTTCGAACGTGTTTAGGGCATTCCTGCAAAGTGGTTCCTCCCATCCAGCGTTCTTCTGCATATTCTTGGAAGTTACGCGAAGAAAACATCTTATGAATTCTTATGACATCTTTGTCATCTCCCTAGATGTACATATATTCTTGTGCTTGTGTCTCAACCGGTTTTATCACTGTGACCGTTTTTGTGGTATTGTTGCCTCTTCTCCATTGATTTTCCTCTCGCATTTCTCCACCTCCTAAAGCCTTGTAGATCTAGAGTTGTTCGTGACCGACACGTTTGAAACGCTTCTCTCCAGTTCATGTCTTTGGTTCTTAAAGACTGAAAGGAGAAATTTGGAGAACCTGAGATCAAACTTTTCTTGCGATGTCACCGATGTCCTTGGAGATGGTCAAGTCAAAGAAGCCATAGGCTGCACTTCTTGGGACATCTGGAGGATTTTCTGAGGTGATACCGCCACCACCACCAGTGATGAAGCAAGTGAGACCACCCAGCACCTGGAGAAAAGGATGCGATTTCACGCCATTTCAATGATTCTCGCGCCTGAAAGATTCTGAAAGAGCCTAAGAGAGAAACGAAAAGTATGAAAGAAGATGAAAGAAGCACATCAAAGATATCAACAGAAGTCGAAGCACTTAGCAAAGAATGATCAAACAAGCGTGGTGACACAACAACTGCTCTCTATCGGTCATAGATGTGGATGCAATGTGGATGACTATGATGACTTCACGCAGTGCCAACATGTGCCAACCCTGGACACCAGGCCTTCCATTTGTGAAAGATGGCCTGGGTGTGGGTGTGGCCAGTGACCTAAGTGACAAGGGTTCGCTGTAGAGATTCTCCACCACAGGGACCTTTTGGCGACTTTCTTGGACTAACGATGATCAGAGATGATGATGACGGATGATCGATCACGGATGATCACGGATGATCACGGATGATCATGGTGCATCTTGCACTGTACGGCTGTACCGGGTTCCCCATGGCGAAGGATATGAAGGATGCTAAAGGCCGCCTAAAGGCCCAAGAAAAGCCCCTGTTTCCCAACGGAAAAGCCGTGTGTCGAGCCATGTCGAGCTGAACCAAACTGAGTCGAGTTACCAGCAGGTCCAGTCCAAGATCCTGGTGCAACTTCTTGTACCAGCTGGCCTTCACAAATTCAACGCGAGGCGACGAGGCTGCAAAATCTGTAAATGAGAACTCAATGCCAACTCAATGAGGACCACTCCAGATCAAATGAGATGGAACGAGATCAAATTAAAGGATTTCAAAGGATCCATTACCCAACGAACATAAGCGAAATCCGTCAAAATCCATCAAAATCCATGAGACTCTTTGCACTTAAGTTGTATAAGACGTATCAGAATGTTGCACGGAAACGAGCCAAGAAAGCACCTGATGCCCGCACTGGAAATGGGTGGCAGCCTAAGTTCGATTTCGAGGCAAGTCCATTGTCACGCGGACTTTTGCCCTGCAGCCTGGTTGTTTCCAGTGTTCAAACACCAGAAATTGCTGACATGCCCCTGATCTGCGGCAGCTGAAGGGCAAGGAACGATCTGCCAATCGGCTGTCGAGCTCTTCAGTTTCTTCTCGATCCATTTCTGTTCTGCTCTCCACACGTCCTTGGTGCCACTCGTTGGGTTCAAGGCTGTATATGCTGTATGAAATTAGATGACATGAGCCAACTGAGTCGTGGTGTTTTACCATCTCTCTCTCACCATTTTTCATATGTTTTCCATATTTGAGGAGGCGGACTCCCGGACTGTGCCCATTTTGTCTCGATCCCCAACATTCTCTAGGCTCAATGTCCAGTATCACACCTTCATTGCAGCCGCGTCTCCCACATGAAGCTGAAGCAGTCATCTAAGTTCTTCGGGCCACCAGTTGCTGAGCAACTGGCTCCCGGAGGGTTGTTCTGCTGGCCGCAGATGTTGTGTCTAGGATCGGCATGCTTCGGATGAGAGTCCATCATGTTTGTGTCCAGCATGAAGACCTCTACCTATCAGAGAGGCACTGAGAGTCACTAGTAGTCATTTACACTGCCACAAGACAAAAGTTGTTGTTGGGATTGGCCCTTTTTTTGCCAAGAAAAAAGCTCCAGTCATCCAGAATATTCATGAATATTCCAGAACCAAGTTTGCATTTGGGGAATTCAGGCCAAGAGAAATTCAGAGAAGCAAATCTCCTGGTCGACTTCAATCGAGGCGCTGAAAAATCGGGATACTCCACGCGCTGCATGAAGTACTGACCTGCAAGGAAGCAACCTATGCGTCTGTGGAGATTCCGGGGGCAGAAACGTTGTGGCATTCCTCGCATAGAGTCTGCACAAAGTCTGCACAAAGTCTGCACAAAGTCTGCACAAAGTCTGCACAAAGTCTGCAAACCTCGCAAACCTCGAATCACAGCAAGCTTCAACTTCCTACCTGGCATAATCCATCGGTCGCTGGCCCAAGTGTAGGCAATCTGCTGGTCCCAACCTTGGAAAACCAAAGCTGGAGCAAAAGTCTGTCAAAACGCCAAAATGTTTTGACAGACCTAGGACCTAGATGCCATCTAGATATATGCCATCTGAGACAAGTGAAATGCTATCATGGAATCTTGAACAGGCCATCAGCACGTAACCGCTGGAAAGTTAAGGCTCTTGCCCTTGTTGAATTGGAATCCTGTTGGTCAAAGTCAACGAAAAACATCATGTTCCCTCGGTCTCTCTGCACAGAGTTCCCGTGACGAGAACAAGGAAAAGGGTTGCTGGAACGAAAATTAGAATAAGAAATGTACTGAAGTATGCTGCTGTTTCATTGTTTCATGATTTTGGTCTTAGTGTCAGTCTTGGTCTTTGTCTGGCACTTCTTGGAGTTCTCAAACATTTCTGAATCTGTAACTCGCTCTGTGCTCTGCAACTGCAGCTGTTGCGGCTGCTGAGCCATGTTGAACCCGCAGTCCTCCATAATCGTGGTTGCCCAAAATACTAAGCCATGGCTTGCTATCAACACCTGAGCAACAAAGCACAAGGCCACACGGTACATGCAGCAGTCACGTGGCTTTTGCGCTTGAAAAAAATACACAACACTCACAGGGCACAATCGCACGTGTAGGAAGCAATCAGACTTCAGCGTAGATCATCAACACGTGTTCCAATACACAAGAGCAATGCTTGACGATCTATGACGAATGTCATGTGTGACAAATCCACACAACACCCTGCCTGGGCCAAAGTACACACGCTCAAAGATCTCATTGAACTGATGGGCAGTGACCGGGTGAATCTTGTTCATCGGAGTGCCACAGTCCTTGGCAAAGTCCCCGACCGATTTTTGGTGGAGGATGCTCTCAGATCTTCCACGCTTTCAGATCTTTCAGCAATCTTGACGGAATCCAAGTGGAACATAGTGGAACATAGTGGAACATAGTGGAACATAGTGGAACTAAGTCACTGTGTTGACTCCGCCCCAATAGAAGTTGTCGCCGACGTTGATGAAAAAATCGGGTTTCGTCTCTGGCGCCCTCTTTTTCAAGGCATCGGCCACCTTCACCTGCCCACCAGCCTCTAAAAGACTAAAAAATATCAAACAATGTCAAGCAAAGAAATGCAAATAATTGTAACTTGATATACTTGCTATACTTGATATAATGATGCGCATTTGTCCAGAAAGAATACGATTGTCATGTCATCAAATGTCGATGCAGATGGATGCAAGATGGATGCAAGATGGATGCAAGATGGATGCAAGATGGATGCACAAGATGGATGCAAGATGGATGCAAGATGGATGCAAGATGGATGCAAGATGGATGCAAGATGGATGCAAGCCCATGCATGAAGTTGTGAAAGAAAAATAAAGAAAAGCCGTTCAAAGATATTCAAAGATGTTCTTGAGATCTGAAGTGGTTGATACTGTCCCCCTGAGCTCACTGGGCGTCAATGGATCAGCTTATCTCAGAAAACTTGCCAAGTGGGTCACCAAAGCTTTCGCACCAGTCCCCAAACGCAGCAATAGTGTTTGAGAAATGGACACTTCGTAGTGGTCTGAAGCAACATCATGAGTGAGACAGGGTCTCACCACAGTGAAATATTTCAGGAGTGTAGAAGCTCTCGTTGGATCTCGTTGGACTTGTTGACAAGCAGAAAGATCAGGAAGTGACAAAAAATCACAGGAGTGATTCGGAGTGATTGATGTTTGAAAGTTTGTGATGCAAAAGGCACAGCGTCTCACAAACACCTGGCCTGGGCTCTATAGTCGATCTCCGGCGAATAATGACAACTATCCGGGCAGGCCTCAAACGATGCAGCTGCCCAAGATCAGAATTCCAACTTGGCTTCCAAAGGCAAGGAAAACATGAGTTTTCTTTCCGAGAAAAACTCCGGTTGCAAGCCAGGTGCCGCCCCAGCAAAACAGGCCATCATGGTGTCGGTGTCGCAAGCCCCACGCCATCTTGCCATGGTGTGAGGGCCAGCAGTGTGTCCTCCTCTGTACCTCGTCTGCATATGTCTGCGCACTGCGGACAGGCAAAAAGTTCCGTTGGAATCAGTATAGAATGTGTCGAGCATGGTGGTCTTGATGCAAGATGGCAGTTTTGACATGTTTTGACTCTTGACATGTTGTGTATCATGGCGTATCCCTCTTGTTGCACTCCTACGTAGCCTACTTGTCTTCGATTCTAAGTGCCTGATATTCCGCCACGTGGCTGGATCATTTGTCCTGGGTGTGTGCCTATCAAGGCGCCCCAGTCGCCAATAGCATAAATGTGGTGCTCCTGATGCCAAACCAACCGCTCCCCGTCCCAGAAACCAACCGTTCAGATCGGTAGGGTTTCAAACAAGAAGAAACATCAAGAAACTGCATGTTGTTGAATCCGTGTTGAATCGCAGCTCTTGAACTTGAAGCTCAAAGTTGCTGAAGGATTCTGAAGGATTCTGAAGGATGCCCAAAGCAGGTCGCCCCAGGTCCTTGTCATCAGTGATCTTCATGGTAGGCCACGCAACACCATTGTACTGCTGCACATGAGTTGGTGGGTCCATACCACCTCGAGGACCAACTTTCATGACACTTGGTCCCTTATAGGCAGGTTCCTTGTAGGTATCTGCAGTCGAACCACAGCTTGGACCACCTGAAAGGACACCGCCGTGGTATTTCACGGGATGAGCTCCGCCAGAGGTCAGGAGACATCCTCCATCGCTCCAGTAAGAGAAATGTCCACAACCAGTCATCTTGGCACACAGCTCTTGGCAGTGCTGTGGACTGGATTGCCGTGTCCGATGGGTGCCCGGCATTGTGATGGCATTGTTCTTTTCTCGCCAGTAGACATGCTGCTGGAAACAATCATCACCCCTATACTTGGCAAATTCGTCCATCTCTTCCTGCTCCTTTTCTTCCTTTTCTTCCTCTGCCTTCATTTCAGAGAGCTGAACGCCCTCCAATTCACTTGGCTCTGTGCAGGGAAGTACGAAAGATACTGGCTCAATAGACTGCGGCTCTGAATGAACCGACTCTGCTTGTTCTTGAGCTTTGTGTAGGCGTAGCTGTCTCAGAGACAAACTGCAGTCACCCTCTTCGGAGTTCGTGCAAGTGTCGTCCACCAGCAAAGACTCATCGCCGAATACTAGACCTTGGGAAATGCACAGAAATAATCTTTTGATGTCACAAAATCTCATTGAACACGCGCATCCAGCGAACAAAGCGGGCAAACCCATGTCTGAAGAACGCAAAGATTGCACAAAATGTGTCGCAGAATGCAAAAAATACTAACAAGGCACTGTAAATTGGAAGCAGCCATGCTAGCCGGCTGCGCATTTCAAGGATTTTAATGATTAGCGCTTTGAGGACTAGTAAAACCAAACGTGACGTGAGCCGAAAAAAAGCTGAATCGTTGCGCGCGCTTCGATGTTTGTTCCAAGAAAGCGTGTAGATGGTCTGCACCAGGTTATACAGTCAGGTGGATGGTATTGAAATGCTCACAATGCTGCTCCACTTTATCTCCCACGCGGCATTCGTCTCGTCCCTTCTCTATCCCTTTTTGGTCTAGGATGGTCTGGGGCCATTTGGCCTCAAAAGTGCAAAATTGCCTGTGCCAGCGACTATTTTTTGTGACTGGTATTCCTCTCCACAGCCTTGTGTGCAGGGTGCAGTCAAAGTCATGCAAATCAGGCTTCAACTTCAGTCGTGTTCGCTCCAGCTCTAGAGACGGGTGTGACAGTAGCAGTACCAACAACCTCGCCCCTAAAGTTCACTGACTCCAACTTGATTTTCTCCTCACAAAAGCTTTGAAAGATTGAGCTGCTTGACAGGAAGACATTTCAAAACAATGCAACGAAAATATATTGTTCGAACGTGTTTAGGGCATTCCTGCAAAGTGGTTCCTCCCATCCAGCGTTCTTCTGCATATTCTTGGAAGTCACGCGAAGAAAACATCTTATGAATTCTTATGACATCTTTGTCATCTCCCTAGATGTACATATATTCTTGTGCTTGTGTCTCAACAGGTCTTATCACTGTGACCGCTTTTGTGGTATTGTTGCCTCTTCTCCATTAATTTTCCTCTCGCATTTCTGCACCTCCTAAAGCCTTGTAGATCTAGAGTTGTTCGTGGCCGACACGTTTGAAACGCTTCTCTCCAGTTCATGTCTTTGGGTTCTTAAAGACTGAAAGGAGAAATTTGGAGAACCTGAGATCAAACTTTTCTTGCGATGTCACCGATGTCCTTGGAGATGGTCAAGTCAAAGAAGCTATAGGCTGCACTTCTTGGGACATCTGGAGGATTTTCTGAGGTGATACCGCCACCACCACCAGTGATGAAGCAAGTGAGACCACCCAGCACCTGGAGAAAAGGATGCGATTTCACGCCATTTCAATGATTCTCGCACCTGAAAGATTCTGAAAGAGTCTAAGAGAGAAACGAAAAGTATGAAAGAAGATGAAAGAAGCACATCAAAGATATCAACAGAAGTCGAAGCACTTAGCAAAGAATGATCAAACAAGCGTGGTGACACAACAACTGCTCTCTATCGGTCATAGATGTGGGTGCAATGTGGATGACTATGATGACTTCACGCAGTGCCAACATGTGCCAACCCTGGACACCAGGCCTTCCATTTGTGAAAGATGGCCTGGGTGTGGGTGTGGCCAGTGACCTAAGTGACAAGGGTTCGCTGTAGAGATTCTCCACCACAGGGACCTTTTGGCGACTTTCCTGGACTAACGATGATCAGAGATGATGATGACGGATGATCGATCACGGATGATCACGGATGATCACGGATGATCACGGATGATCATGGTGCATCTTGCACTGTACGGCTGTACCGGGTTCCCCATGGCGAAGGATATGAAGGATGCTAGAGGCCGCCTAAAGGCCCAAGAAAAGTCCCTGTTTCCCAACGGAAAAGTCGTGTGTCGAGCTATGTCGAGCTGAACCAAACTGAGTCGAGTTACCAGCAGGTCCAGTCCAAGATCCTGGTGCAACTTCTTGTACCAGCTGGCCTTCACAAATTCAACGCGAGGCGACGAGGCTGCAAAATCTGTAAATGAGAACTCAATGCCAACTCAATGAGGACCACTCCAGATCAAATGAGATGGAACGAGATCAAATTAAAGGATTTCAAAGGATCCAATACCCAACGAACATAAGCGAAATCCGTCAAAATCCATCAAAATCCATGAGACTCTTTGCACTTAAGTTGTATAAGACGTATCAGAATGTTGCACGAAAACGAGCCAAGAAAGCACCTGATGCCCGCACTGGAAATGGGTGGCAGCCAAAGTTCGATTTCGAGGCAAGTCCATTGTCACGCGGACTTTTGCCCTGCAGCCTGGTTGTTTCCAGTGTTCAAACACCAGAAATTGCTGACATGCCCCTGATCTGCGGCAGCTGAAAGGGCAAGGAACGATCTGCCAATCGGCTGTCGAGCTCTTCAGTTTCTTCTCGATCCATTTCTGTTCTGCTCTCCACACGTCCTTGGTGCCACTCGTTGGGTTCAAGGCTGTATATGCTGTATGAAATGAGATGACATGAGCCAACTGAGTCGTGGTGTTTTACCATCTCTCACCATTTTTCATGTGTTTTCCATATTTGAGGAGGCGGACTCCCGGACTGTGCCCATTTTGTCTCGATCCCCAACATTCTCTAGGCTCAATGTCCCGTATCACACCTTCATTGCAGCCGCGTCTCCCACATGAAGCTGAAGCAGTCATCTAAGTTCTTCGGGCCACCAGTTGCTGAGCAACTGGCTCCCGGAGGGTTGTTCTGCTGGCCGCAGATGTTGTGTCTAGGATCGGCATGCTTCGGATGAGAGTCCATCATGTTTGTGTCCAGCATGAAGACCTCTACCTATCAGAGAGGCACTGAGAGTCACTAGTAGTCATTTACACTGCCACAAGACACAACTTGTTGTTGGGATTGGTCCTTTTTTTGCCAAGAAACTAGACGACGGATGGCCCGAGAGCGTAGAGGAGCAGGGTCTTCTCTTGTTAGTATGGAGACACAATGTTACAAACAATATATTAAAGATGTGTTATAGGCAGTCGAGAAGAGGAGTATCAAGACAAAATAGCAGAAGTGCAAGACAATAGTTTGCATCGCAAACACTTTTACACACAGAAGCTTTTACACACAGACGCTTTTACACACGAAAGCTTTTACACACAGAAGCTTTTACACACAGAAGCTTTTACACACAAAAGCTTTCACACACAGAAGCTTTTACAGACAGACACTTTCACACACAGACCCTTTTACACACAGACGCTTGTACACACAAAAGCTTTTACACACAGAAGCTTTTACAGACAGAAGCTTTTACACAGACGCTTTTACACACAAAGCTTTTACCCACAGAAGCTTTTACAGACAGAAGCTTTTACACACAGACGCTTTTACACAGATGCTTTTACACACAGACACTTTTACACACAGACACTTTAACAAAGACCCTTCTACACACAGGAGCTTTTACACACAGAAGCGTTTACACGCAGACATTTTTACACACAAAAACTTTTACACACAGAAGCTTTTACACATAGACGCTTTGACACAGAGGCATTTTTACACACAAACACTTTTACATACAAACACTTTTACACACAAACACTTTTACACACAAACACTTTTACACACAAACACTTTTACACAAAGACGCTTTTACACGCAGAAGCTTTTACACGCAGACGCTTTTACACACAGAAGCTTTTACACACAAACGCTTTTACACACAGACACTTTTACACACAGACGCTTTTACACACAGACGCTTTTACACACAGACGCTTTTACACACAGACGCTTTTGCACACAGACGCTTTTACACACAGACGCGTTTACACACAGACGCTTTTACACACAGACGCTTTTACACACAGACGCTTTTACACACAAACACTTTGACACACAGACACTTTTGCACACAAAAGCTTTTACACACAGACGCTTGCACACACACAAACGCTTTCACACACAAACGCCTTTACACACAAACACTTTTACACACAGACACTTTTGCACACAAAAGCTTTTACACACAGACGCTTGCACACACACACAAACGCTTTCACACACAAACGCCTTTACACACAAACACTTTTACACACAGACACTCAGTTTTTGACAATCGAACCTCGTTTCGTGCGAAAGGGTTGCGCCGGACAAGTTGAAATCGCAATTTTACCTCAGTTTTTGACGATCGAACCTCATTTCGTGCGAAAGGGTTGCGGGGGACAAGTGAAATCGCAATTTTACCTCAGTTTTTGACGATCGAACCTCGTTTCGTGCGAAAGGGTTGCGCCGGACAAGTTGAAATCGCAATTTTACCTCAGTTTTTTTGACGATCGAACCTCGTTTCGTGCGAAAGGGTTGCGGCGGACACCTGGAAATCGCAATTTTACCTCAGTTTTTGACGATCGAACCCCGTTTCGTGCGAAAGGTTGCGCCGGACAAGTTGAAATCGCAATTTTACCTCAGTTTTTGACGATCGAACCTCGTTTCGTGCGAAAGGTTGCGCCGGACAAGTTGAAATCGCAATTTTACCTCAGTTTTTGACGATCGAACCTCGTTTCGTGCGAAAGGGTTGCGCCGGACAAGTTGAAATCGCAATTTTACCTCAGTTTTTGACGATCGAACCTCGTTTCGTGCGAAAGGTTGTGCCGGACAAGTTGAAATCGCAATTTTACCTCAGTTTTTGACGATCGAACCTCGTTTCGTGCGAAAGGGTTGCGTTTCGTGCTCCCGCCTTCAAAAGAGATCTAGAAAAGAAGGAGAGGGCAAGAGGGCAAGAGGGCAAGAGGAGAAGATGTGAGATGAGAAGATGTGAAGATGAGAAGATGTGAGAAGATGTGGGAAGATGTGAGAAGATGTGGGAAGATGTGAGAAGATGTGAGAAGATGTGAAGATGAGAAGATGTGAGAAGATGTGAAGATGAGAAGATGTGAAGATGAGAAGATGTGAAGATGAGAAGATGAGGAGAAGATGAGAAGATGAGGAGAAGATGAGAAGATGTGAGGGTGAGAAGATGTGAAGATGAGAAGATGTGAAGATGAGAAGATGTGAAGATGAGAAGATGTGAAGATGAGAAGAAGAGGAGAAGATGTGAGGATGAGAAGATGTGAAGATGAGAAGATGTGAAGATGAGAAGATGTTTTACAGACCCCCACTATTGGAAGAACCCTGCGCTCAGACGCTCTCGGGAAAAAGCTCCAGTCATCCAGAATATTCATGAATATTCCAGAACCAAGTTTGCATTTGGGGAATTCAGGCCAAAAGAAATTCAGAGAAGCAAATCTCCTGGTCGACTTCAATCGAGGCGCTGAAAAATCGGGATACTCCACGCGCTGCATGAAGTACTGACCTGCAAGGAAGCAACCTATGCGTCTGTGGAGATTCCGGGGGCAGAAACATTGTGGCATTCCTCGCACAAAGTCTGCACAAAGTCTGCACAAAGTCTGCACAAAGTCTGCACAAAGTCTGCAAACCTCGCAAACCTCGAATCACAGCAAGCTTCAACTTCCTACCTGGCATAATCCACCGGTCGCTGGCCCAAGTGTAGGCAATCTGCTGGTCCCAACCTTGGAAAACCAAAGCTGGAGCACAAGTCTGTCAAAACGCCAAAATGTTTTGACAGACCTAGGACCTAGATGCCATCTAGATATATGCCATCTGAGACAAGTGAAATGCTATCATGGAATCTTGAACAGGCCATCAGCACGTAACCGCTGGAAAGTTAAGGCTCTTGCCCTTGTTGAATTGGAATCCTGTTGGTCAAAGTCAACGAAAAACATCATGTTCCCTCGGCCTCTCTGCACAGAGTTCCCGTGACGAGAACAAGGAAAAGGGTTGCTGGAACGAAAATTAGAATAAGAAATGTACTGAAGTATGCTGCTGTTTCATTGTTTCATGATTTTGGTCTTAGTGTCAGTCTTAGTCTTTGTCTGGCACTTCTTGGAGTTCTCAAACATTTCTGAATCTGTAACTCGCTCTGTGCTCTGCAAACTGCAGCTGTTGCGGCTGCTGAGCCATGTTGAACCCGCAGTCCTCCATAATCGTGGTTGCCCAAAACACTAAGCCATGGCTTGCTATCAACACCTGAGCAACAAAACACAAGGCCACACGGTACATGCAGCAGTCACGTGGCTTTTGCGCTTGAAAAAAATACACAACACTCACAGGGCACAATCGCACGTGTAGGAAGCAATCAGACTTCAGCGTAGATCATCAACACGTGTTCCAATACACAAGAGCAATGCTTGACGATCTATGACGAATGTCATGTGTGACAAACCCTCCACACAACACCCTGCCTGGGCCAAAGTACACACGCTCAAAGATCTCATTGAACTGATGGGCAGTGACCGGGTGAATCTTGTTCATCGGAGTGCCACAGTCCTTGGCAAAGTCCCCGACCGACTTTTGGTGGAGGATGTTCTCAGATCTTCCCACGCTTTCAGCAATCTTGACGGAATCCAAGTGGAACATAGTGGAACATAGTGGAGCTAAGTCACTGTGTTGACTCCGCCCCAATAGAAGTTGTCGCCGACGTTGATGAAAAAATCGGGTTTCGTCTCTGGCGCCCTCTTTTTCAAGGCATCGGCCACCTTCACCTGCCCACCAGCCTCTAAAAGACCAAAAAATGTAAAACAATATCAAGCAAAGAAATGCAAATAATTGTAACTTGATATACTTGCTATACTTGATATATGATGCGCATTTGTCCAGAAAGAATACGATTGTCATGTCATCAAATGTCGATGCAGATGGATGCAAGATGGATGCAAGATGGATGCAAGATGGATGCAAGATGGATGCAAGATGGATGCAAGCCCATGCATGAAGTTGTGAAAGAAAAATTACACCGGCATAGACCCCAGATAGAAAAGGTTGGAACTGATGGTTCCCAACGTGGGAACCAAAGGTTACCATGGCAAGGAACTGCCGGTTCCCAGACCTTGAAACTTACGGTTCCCAACCTGGGAACCAGAGGTTACCATTGCAAGGAATTGCCGGTTCCCAGAAGTTAGAATTTATGCTTTCGAAGCTAAGCAACTATCATTGTAAGGAACTGCGGATTCCCAAAGCACCCTGCAGTCTGGACAACACCCTGCACAGCACCCTGGACAGCACCCTGCACAGCACCTTTGCCAGACTTCGCCACCGCAGTCTGGACAGCACCCTGCACAGCACCCTGCACAGCACCCTGGGCTCAAAAGTTCGCCGCCGAAGACCCCACCTTTGAGAAGCAAGAACCCCTATAGCTTGCCAGCTATCTGGGGAATAAAGAAAAGCCGTTCAAAGATATTCAAAGATGTTCTTGAGATCTGAAGTTGTTGATACTGTCCCCCTGAGCTCACTGGGCGTCAATGGATCAGCTTATCTCAGAAAACTTGCCAAGTGGATCACCAAAGCTTTCGCACCAGTCCCCAAACGCAGCAATAGTGTTTGAGAAATGGACACTTCGTAGTGGTCTGAAGCAACATCATGAGTGAGACAGGGTCTCACCACAGTGAAATATTTCAGGAGTGTAGAAGCTCTCGTTGGATCTCGTTGGACTTGTTGACAAGCAGAAAGATCAGGAAGTGACAAAAAATCACAGGAGTGATTCGGAGTGATTGATGTTTGAAAGTTTGTGATGCAAAAGGCACAGCGTCTCACAAACACCTGGCCTGGGCTCTATAGTCGATCTCCGGCGAATAATGACAACTATCCGGGCAGGCCTCAAACGATGCAGCTGCCCAAGATCAGAATTCCAACTTGGCTTCCAAAGGCAAGGAAAACATGAGTTTTCTTTCCGAGAAAAACTCCGGTTGCAAGCCAGGTGCCGCCCCAGCAAAACAGGCCATCATGGTGTCGGTGTCGCAAGCCCCACGCCATCTTGCCATGGTGTGAGGGCCAGCAGTGTGTCCTCCTCTGTACCTCGTCTGCATATGTCTGCGCACTGCGGACAGGCAAAAAGTTCCGTTGGAATCAGTATAGAATGTGTCGAGCATGGTGGTCTTGATGCAAGATGGCAGTTTTGACATGTTTTGACTCTTGACATGTTGTGTATCATGGCGTATCCCTCTTGTTGCACTCCTACGTAGCCTGCTTGTCTACTTGTCTTCGATTCTAAGTGCCTGATATTCCGCCACGTGGCTGGATCATTTGTCCTGGGTGTGTGCCTATCAAGGCGCCCCAGTCGCCAATAGCATAAATGTGGTGCTCCTGATGCCAAACCAACCGCTCCCCGTCCCAGAAACCAACCTTTCAGATCGGTAGGGTTTCAAACAAGAAGAAACATCAAGAAACTGCATGTTGTTGAATCCGTGTTGAATCTCAGCTCTTGAACTTGAAGCTCAAAGTTGCTGAAGGATTCTGAAGGATTCTGAAGGATGCCCAAAGCAGGTCGCCCCAGGTCCTTGTCATCAGTGATCTTCATGGTAGGCCACGCAACACCATTGTACTGCTGCACATGAGTTGGTGGGTCCATACCACCTCGAGGACCAACTTTCATGACACTTGGTCCCTTATAGGCAGGTTCCTTGTAGGTATCTGCAGTCGAACCACAGCTTGGACCACCTGAAAGGACACCGCCGTGGTATTTCACGGGATGAGCTCCGCCAGAGGTCAGGAGACATCCTCCATCGCTCCAGTAAGAGAAATGTCCACAACCAGTCATCTTGGCACACAGCTCTTGGCAGTGCTGTGGACTGGATTGCCGTGTCCGATGGGTGCCCGGCATTGTGATGGCATTGTTCTTTTCTCGCCAGTAGACATGCTGCTGGAAACAATCATCACCCCTATACTTGGCAAATTCGTCCATCTCTTCCTGCTCCTTTTCTTCCTTTTCTTCCTCTGCCTTCATTTCAGAGAGCTGAACGCCCTCCAATTCACTTGGCTCTGTGCAGGGAAGTACGAAAGATACTGGCTCAATAGACTGCGGCTCTGAATGAACCGACTCTGCTTGTTCTTGAGCTTTGTGTAGGCGTAGCTGTCTCAGAGACAAACTGCAGTCACCCTCTTCGGAGTTCGTGCAAGTGTCGTCCACCAGCAAAGACTCATCGCCGAATACTAGACCTTGGGAAATGCACAGAAATAATCTTTTGATGTCACAAAATCTCATTGAACACG